GATTAGTCGACTAATCGAATAAATAATCTGTGATTAATCGATTAATAAAATAATCGTTTGTGGCAGCCCTAAATGTGATGCTGTAATTCTGAGTGTTTTATGTGCTGCAGAACAGGAACCTGCTGTAAAACAGCAATTATGCTGAGTCATGCTTGATTTTTAATAATCTTTTCCTGTTAAACAAATAAATAAAATCAAAATCAAATCAAATCAATGAAGAAACATGCTGCGAATACTGCCTCTTTTGTTCTGTGCCGCACAAATAACCTGCTCCTGTTTTGTGTTGATGGTTCAGATAAAGAAGAGGGACCCCTCCTTCTCTCCTCAGTTCCTTCTGGATTTTGGTTCAGGATTGGGAACGGTCGCCTGGTTGGTGTTCAAATTAAGACTCGGCTGTTTTGTCTAAAACACGTCAGAACGATCAGAGCGGATTTGATTTTCCTCCCGCAGGGCAGCACACTCGTACTGGGGCGACTCGTTAAAGGAGTTCATTTGCGTGGACAGCTCTGGGCCGATGAACRTTTTGGCGGAACGACTTCTCAAAGGTGATCGATTAATTTGAAACGCTATCAATAAAAATAAAAATCTTTTCATGAAGAAACTTAAGAAGTTGTTTTTTCTTCGTACAGGTGACAACGAAAATGCTGAACCTCACATCAAACAAGTTTATTTCAGACAGTTTCTTCCTGTCTCTCCTAAGGTAAGACCCCCACTTGTTTCTTTAATTTAACTTTAAATACAGCACGGACGTGTTGCAGAGTTTTCGTGTCGCACGTTCCTCTTCAGGTCAAGTTTGATTTGGTGACGGCGGCGTTCACCCTGTCGGAGCTGCCCAGCGCTCAAGATCGAGAAGAAGCCGTGATGACTCTGTGGAGAAAGACCAACTCCTATCTGGTCAGTTAAATCTGAACTCTGTGGCCTTTTAGAAAAACACATCCTGTTCACCTGTGGCAACAGTTTAAGGTGTTTTTGTTTATTTTATGTTTTAGGTTTTAGTAGAAAATGGAACCAAAGAGGGCCATCAGATGCTTATGGCTGCCAGAAACACTTTACTGACGGTATTCAGCTTTAGCAGTTTAATTATTGCTTAAATTACCTGTGACATGCAWATKCTTCAAATACAAAAAGTCAAAGAAAACATCTTTATGTTTAAGAAAGTTGGAATAATACTCACGATTTTACCCATTTTGCCCCTTAACTGGCATATTTTCTTTAGAACTAGACTCAGCCAAAGTGAAACAGGAAGTGACATCAAAGGGGAACTCTTTAACAAGGAAAACTCTCTGGTCTTTGTTTAATGAAACAAAACTATTTGAACTCTGACTCTCTTTCATAGTGACTCAAAAATAAYTTTAAGAAGCATCAGATTCTTCTCTACAGTCTGTGTTGTTGGCTGTTGTACCATCACTCTGTTCCCCTTTGACATCACTTCCTGTTACTTCACAGGCAAATATCTCAACAACTGTTCATCTCAGCAGCATGAAATTTTTTTTGTAATATTTTATCTGTGTCATCTTTTCAAAAATGCATTCATATGTAATACAAAAATTTGACGTCACAGGCACTTTAACACAGTCTTTAAATAAATTCCTACAGAAACAAGAAAAGGTTGTTCACGACCCCAGACCAGCGTCCGTGTTCGCTCCGGTAGGTTCAACAAAACCACTTTAAAACGAGCCTCCATCAGCAGCCTGACATCCTGCGATTTTTAATTTATTATTATTATTTTTTAGTGTCCTCATGAAGTGACGTGTCCCAAACTGACCCGGCAGCGCGTCACTCCCTGCAACTTCCTGCAGCGCTACCATCCTCTTCCTCTGTCGGGGGTGAGAACCAGCTCCAGCACCGCTGGTCTTTATTCTCAGCTACTTCTGCTCGCGTTATGCTGATTCAGCCGTTCGTGTATGAAAACGTTCAGCACAGACAGGAGATCMGATTTTAAGGGTTTGAAACTTTGACACTAATATTTTAACCAAAAAAATTACATTCAGGTTAAAAAACTCCCATCTTTGTCTACTTACGCTATTTTTAGCTTTTCGCTACATTCAGCTACTTTTTGATAGCAGTTTTCTATTTTTAGCCAGGGTTTTTTTTTTTTTGCAAATTTTAGCGTTCAGCATGCTTATGTGTTACTATTAAGATTTTACATAGCCTTTTGTTACAGTTAGCTTTTAGCTTGACTTTTGGTATTTTTAGCTTCTTGTTAGCTTTTTGCTATTTTTAGCCAGTCTTTTGCCTCTTTTAGCTTTTAAATGGTCTTGTTACATTTAGCTTTTAGCTTGACTTTTGTTACATTTAGTTTCTTGTTAGCCTTTTGATTCTTTTAGCCGGTTTTCATTTTAACCATTTTAGCTAAACTTTTGCTGCTTTTAGTGATTTGCTTTGCTGCTGCGTTTAGCAAGCTGTTTTTGAATTTTAGCTAACCTTTTTCTGGCTTTTGCTACTTTCGCTTTAAACAACCATTTTGTTACATATAGCTTTAAGTTAGCCTTTACCTAGCATTTTGCTAATTTTAGATTGACTTCTTTTAAATTTAGCTTCTTGTCATCATTTTGATGCCAGTCTTTTGCTATTTTTAGCTTTTAACTAGCCTTTTGTCATCTTTATCTAGCTTTTTGCTCTGTGTAATTTTTAGCTAACTTATTGCTGCTTTTCTCTAGCCTTTTGCTAATTTTAAATTTTAACTAACCCATTGCTTTCTTATTATCTAGCTTTGATATTAGCTACAATTTTGCTACTTTTAGCTAGCCTTTTGCTACATTTAGATATTAGCTAGCCTTTTGCTACTTTTCACTTTTAGTGACCAATTTGTTACATTTAGCTTTAACCTAGCCTTTTCCTTTAACAACTCAGTTTCAGCTTCTCCAGTGGTCGTTCAGCTCTCAGCGTTCACACTTTATGGTTTTATTTTGAAGTGGTTTGTTAAACTTTTATCTGATGTTTGTTTTCTTTGAATAACGGATCAGTTTTTAAATGAATTAAACTAAACATTTGTCCCAAAGAGCTCGATTAAATGAAATCCTGATTATTATTATTATTATTTTTTTGAAGCACGGGGACTGTCAGACGGAGAAGTTCAGCTACCTGATTCTGAGCCGAAGCAAGCGGGTGGAGACAGAACCAGAGGGTGTGGACTGGGCTCGGCTGATCGGACCGGTGTTGTGCAGAACGCGACACGTCCATTGCAACATGTGCTGCTCCGACGGCAGCCAGCAGCACCTGGTGGTGACGCCACGAAAACACGGCAGGTAGAAACTTCCTGCAGGAGTCGGAGAGTTTTTACACTTTATAATCCAGAGTTTGTCACTGAACAAAGATAAACTAAAATATTTTTCTTTTTAACCGTTTCCTCAGAGACGTGTATCGCTGCGCTCGGAAAAGCAACTGGGGAGACCGCCTGCCGGTGGTCCAGAAAGTCGAAGAAGACGAAGTCGAAGAAGACGAAGTCAAAGAAGACGAAGTCGAAGAAGACGAAGTCGAAGAAGAATCAGAGTGAAGATTCACCTAAAATCAAACAACTTGTTTCTTTGTATAATTGTTACCTTCAATAAATCTTTGATCTGTTTGTATAACCAAATGGTTTTCCTGATTTTTATTTTTCCTGAATATTTCTTGTAATCTAACTACTTCTGCATTTGTGTTAAACATTCAGGAGATGAATGCCATGAGTTTTTAAGTTTTTATAACTCAATCAACGTTTTTTAACTTTTCAGTTTTATCATAAACAATGAAATTTCTTCAATTCCTTCAAAACTCTCCTGTATTGCTGCAGTAATGTGCAAATTTCCCCACGGTGGGATCAATAAAGTTTTATCTTATCTTAAAACATCCTTCTCTTTGAAATCTGCAACATCCTTTTTTACATTTTGCTACAGTTCTGCTACTTTTAGCTTTCAGCTAATCTTTTCCTACTCAACTTTTAGCTACCTGTTTAACGTTTAGCTTTTCTGCTAGCTCTTTTTAAAACAGTATTTTGCTTCATCTCTCATTTTGCTACTTTTGGCTTTTAGTTGGCCTTTTGTAATTTTCAGCTTGTAGATGGTTTGTTGCTCCTAACTAGCCTTTTGCTGCTTTTAGCTAACCATTTCCTACTCAACATTTAGCTAGCTGTTTTAACTTTTAGCTTTTTTTTAGCTCTTTAATAGCTTAGTTGCTACTTCAGCTGTCCTATTGGTACTTAAGGCTTTTAGCTAGGCTATTGCTGCTCTTGGCTTGATACTGTTTTCCACAGCTTTTTGATATTTTTAACTTACCTGTTACTATGTAGCTTTTAGCTAACCATTTGAAACGTGTAACTTTTCACTAGACATTTAATACTTTGTTTTTTCCACCAAAAGCTTTTAGCATTTTCCTACTTTTAATTTATTTTCTAGTTTTAACAACTCAGCTTTACTTCCGCTAAAGACCTTTAGCGGTTATGCAGCATTTTTGCAGAAAACATTGTTTTTATTTTACAGATCCTGCAACACACAGGTTTCCTTTAAACGGTCCAACAGTTTATTTTATTTTTAGTTTGTACAAAGTCCTGCTCAGTCAAAAAAATCACTTACAGAAAGGAGGAAAAGAGTTTCATTCACGTATTTATGGAAAATATGAAGGGATTTTTTTTAAATTGCTGCTGATTTCCAGTTTTTTTTTTATAGTTTTATTTCACACTAAAAAAAGAACAGAAAATTTTTAAGTTCAACTTTCTACAATCTGTTTGAGGGCTGAGGTTAAGTCTGTGTACTGGTACTGATATCCAGACTCTAAAGTCTGCTTCGGTATGACTTTCTGGCCTTGAGTGAGGACCATAGCCCTTTCAGAACCCAACAGGGCATTCAGAACGAAGCCGGGAACTGGGAGGACGGTGGGCCGCCTCAGGACCTGACCCAGCTCCTTGGTGAACTCGTAGTTGGTGTTGAGCGCGGGCGCCACTCCGTTGTACACCTGCGGAGACGGACCGGGAGCGTCAGGAGGCGGGTCCAGAGAGCGAGCGATGATTCCTGCCAAGTCCGAGACATGGATCCACGGGAACGGCTGACTCCCGGAGCCCAGCGTCCCACCAAGACCGAGCCAGAAGGGCAGCAGCATCTGCTTCATGGCCCCGCCGTCACGACCCAACACCACCCCTCGTGTTCAGAAACAGGAATAAAGGAGACTAAGATTAAGTGTATAATTTTAACCTCTTTAAGACTTTTTAAACAGTCGTGCAGTTTTGGGTGTACCAGACCGGATGACGACCTGCTTGGTGGTTTCAGACACTTTCTCAGGAAGACGCGCCGCAGCCTCCCACTCTTTGACGAGTCGCGAGAGGAGGTCGTACGGCGTCCACTCGCTGTCCTCCGTGTACTCCGCTGTCAGGCTGGGTTTGTAGCAGGCTGAGGATCAGAAAGAAAACAAAAAAATTGACGACCAGATTATGTCCGCCTCACATTTAGTCCTCGCCGATGAGCTCAGAATTACCTACGCCTGACACCAGGACCCAGGAGTGAGGAGGACTGGAGGATGCTGCAATGGCTCGAGACAGAGCTTTTGTTGTGTTAATGCGGCTGGAGAACAAATCTTTTTTATAGCTTTCATTCCACCTTAAACGAGGAACAAAAATCAAGAAAAAAAAAGAATCAAGATTTCAAACAGGCCACCGATACGAACCTTGATTTCACTCACTCACCATCGAAGCGGGTTCATGAGATTCTCTCCAGCCAAGTTGACAACACCGTCACACGGCGGGAGGCCTCGGGACTCTAATTCACCCTGCAGACGCACAAGGACAAGCAAGAAAAACAAAACGGCTTGTAAATATCAGTTAATCTGTAGAGAAGAAACATAAATGTTTAGTTGCAGATTTAGATGYTGCGATGAACCTCAGACCATACCCATGTTATTCTTCCTGGACCAGGTTGGCGAGATATTACCGTGACCTCATGACCTTTGACTCTGAGGAGACCCATCAGCTCCTGGCCAACAAAACCMGACCCCCCACCTGAGTGGAAGATGGATAAAACTTAAAAACATACAGAAGAAGCAACAAAAGAAGAACACCATACCAGGGGGTTACTGTATTTGAGCTTATTTTTATTAATATTAATCAATTTTTTTTATTGTTTAACCTTTGTTGAGAATGATACAAGACTGTAAAGAAATGTTGTTCTTTTKTTTATTTTTACCCCATCAAATGCAAAGTGCGCATGCGTAGTACACATGCTTACAAAACACTGCATAGAGTTAACTTCGCTTGAATTTCGGTAAATATTGCACACTAAATAGTGTTCATGATATGTTTTCAACACTAACGCACAGTTTTAAACGACGAACATCAGATGCACGTTTAATTTTTTTTCTAAATCATTTGATACGCGGTTGTCTTTTAAGCTAGTTGTGTTAGCATTATCGTTTTGACCTTTTTTAAGTTACTTTAATAAACAAGCACAAAGATGTCACGAAAAACAAACATACCTATTAACACTCTCATGGTCACAGTACCATTCAGCGCTGATWTTAAAAATAATCCCTGTAGTGTCACTCCCACTTAAACCGTTTGGACTAAAGGGCGTATGCTCCAGACAAGCCTGCCACCTACCGGTTTAATACTTTTCCGTAAACAAATGTGACTTAAACTAAAAAAAATAAGTAGCTAGCAATAATGTTGTACGTAGTTTGTATTCATTTTTTGTTGAAAATAATAAATTTCTTGCTTGGCACCACTTAATTTCAATAAGAAATGCAGAAAATACATTTATGGTATTGTTAACCGGGAAGTCGCTTGTTTATGACGTAACAAAACAAACCACGTGGTTTGATAAGGTAATAAATTGGCGCTCAGCCGCGGAAGTCGCTCTTTTGGCTGCACATGTTGCGGTAAGGAGGCATAAATGAACTATATTTAATCCTCGTAAAGTGTTAATTATTATTGTTATTATTTTTAGCTGATGTATTTCGGAACAGATGTCTGATGAGGTTGATTTGTTTTAGGTTTTAGAAGATTATTTAAAATCAAATCAACCTCGTGGTTTCGACAGAACTGATGTAATTAATTTTTATTCATTTGGTTAATTTTCCAATTGAACCAAAACACTAAGTCATGATTAATATTTACACAGTAATATTAATTTAGGCACAATTTATCTAAAAGCTAAAATTGTCAAACTACTTTAGGGACTGTTTATTTTTACATGTGTGCTGCTGCAGGAACTTGAGCTTTACAGCTGAAGAACAAACAGATTAAGTTTGTTAAATGGTTTTCAGTCAAACCTTAATGATGAKTTGCATGTGAGTCCGTGTTTCACCTGAAGCTGATGATTATTTTTTCACTGCACTGATGGGTTTGACTTGTTTTATTGTTTTAAGTTGTTTACAGTCGAGGGAATGAATTTTAACAATGTTTTTATTTATTTATTTTTTTAGGATTAAATCTGTGGATGTCTATTAATAAGGTAAGAGCTTGAAAGATTTGTTCAAAAAATGTACATTTATTTATTAGGGTTGGGCATAATCGTATCATGTGCAATTAAATCGTCAGAAAAACATTAATCGATTACTTTTTCGCACTTGACGATTAATACGATTAATGCCACCAGGCAGAGTCTGCTCGCTTCCTGCTCCTCTCTGCTTCAAATATGACAAACATTAAAATAAAGTACTGTAATTTATCTATCAACACAAATTACAATTAGATGTATAGCCTGAAGTCTGTAATTTTGATACAGTTAAGAACAGATTTTTATGATGAGCAAATCGTTCCCACTAAATTAGTCGTGTGACTAGGACATAAGGGTGTCCAGGGACTCCAGGGGATTAATCGTCAAATTAATTGTTATCGGCTAAATACAACAGTTAATTGTGATTAATTTTTTTGCCAATGTTGCCCAACCCTATTATTTATAAGGTGTCAATTTTAGTAGATATTTGATAATTTGCCTGAAACTTAAATTATAGATTTGTTTTCTCTACATCCTTCATGAGTTTAATTTGTATCATGGTTACAATGTCTGACTCTGAAGTTCAATAAAATGTCATGTTTTTTTTTTTTCTCTCATTCACAGGGGGAACTCCTCACCACTGGCTCACCTTCAGTTTTGAACAGACCAATTGTGGGGATGTTAAAATTGTAGAAAAAAATTAAAGTGTGGTGACAGGATATTCAGTGTTTTTGTTTTCCTTCCTTTCRTGCAACTAATACATTAGTTTTAACACTAAATCTTTACATTTAATTTAATTTTTTAATAAGGTGCAGGTGTATGGTTTTTCTTTTCTTTCTACACCTTTTTTATTCAATTAATTTACTTTTGTTTTTGTAATGGACTTTGTTGTTTTTAATGAATGAATGAAACAAAAAATAAGAAAGTGAAGTCAGAAATATAACAATGTAAAAGAAAATTTAAATATATATGAAAAGCTGTCATTGTAGTGAAGCAAGACCTGGCATATAAAAATCCTAAACAAAAATCTCTTTGAAGTGGCCAATTTTTTTTCTGAAACATTTATTTAAAATACCTACGTTCTTTGTCAAATATTACTAAAAGTCCCAAAGGTACAATAAAACTGCTAGAATTAATGTGTGGCAGAAAAAGTTAAATATTTTCCTTTATTTCCCCAGATTAAGATTTAATGCCCTGATGCACGCTGACCACTGAGGTGAATAAAAGTTTGAATTAATGATTGTGACTCCTAACATGAATATTGAAGATGTGAAAAATGAAAACATGGTCACCATAAATAAAAAAAAATGTATAAAATGCAAAATTTATTATTTTTAAATTGGGCACATTAATATACATTGGGGTTGATCAAAAATGTTTTTCAATACAGTGCGAATTAATTGGTCCCAATAGAGTTTTAGTCTTAAAATAAGCCATTGGTAAAAAAAAAAAAATTCTCACAAACATTGTAAATGTCAATAAATTCTTATTTTGTTACAAATAACAGTCAAGCTCTGGGTTATAAATATTCCAATAAAATAGTTCGGTTTTGATTAAACCACAATACAACAGGAAATTCATTCCTGTTTTGTTTCCTTGAGAAAAAACTTGGAAATACAGTATAATCCAAAATATTTGCTTTATGTTTTCCTCTAATTCATAATAGTTCTTCTAAACTAAATTTTCTACTACAYGTCACAACATTTCAGAGTTCATTTGCATCTTTTAAGTTAAAGCAATATTCCTGATGGGTGCAGAAGACTCAGACGTGTTTATGACGCTGTTTTTCTTGAACAGCTGACCCTTTTTGGTTTTGGGTTGGTCCTGCGACGTGCCTTCGAACAGTTTAGCCATGAAGGCYAAGCCGTTGCGCTTGATGTAGGACTTCCCAGCGAAGGTGTAGAGGATGGGGTTGGCACAGCTGCTGATGAAGGCTATAGTCGAGGTCACGGCTCGGCACGACTGATGGATRTGTTCCAGTCTGCAGAAATACAAGTTTAAACCTCATATCAACTTAYAAGAAAATATTACCCCTACTTAGCATAAACTGACAGATTTCTAGTAAGTAAGTTCAGCCACCTGCAAGAAATTAAAGGTACTAATTGCAAAGTACAAAAGACAAAATGCACTTGATGTGCTCTAAGGRAATGACTGAATTTATGTCAAATGTTTAGTTTACTGACCATTTTTCTATAAATACACAGGTTATAATCCAACCTTTGATTCAGCAGAATATTTTGTTCATAGGCCAACTGACTGCCGACCTGCATTTGAGAATTGCATCTGGAAAACTGGAGTAAACTCTTGAAGTACCGTTTGGTCGTGWTGTAGTACTTGAGACCAGTCTCAAAACCACTTTTTGATGGTCTTGTCTTGGACTCGACAGCATTTGTTCTCAGACATTGAGGACTCAGAATTTTACTTCAAGACCACAACTGTGGAAATATCACTAAATAGCCAGATTATTGTCCAATTTATTTGTCAGCATCTTTGCTTTCATTGAATTTAAAAGGTATTACTGATTCAAATCCAAACTTGACTCATTGGTCTTTATGAATTTTTGTTACCGGCTGTCACCCACCCMACTTCACTTGCTACAGGAAATAGAACCACGGTTCTCTGGGAGTGATGGAAGATGTCTGCAAAATTTTAAGTAAAACAATTTGGCTACATAAACAATATCG